AGGAGAGTGGTTAGGCCCTGGAACGGGCTGCCCAGGGAGGTTGTGGATGCCCCGTCCTTGGACGTGTTCAAGGCCAGGTTGGACGGGGTCCTGGGCAACCTGATCTGAATGTGTATGTTTGGTGGCCCTGCTAGGCAGGGGGGTTGGAACTACATGATCCTTGAGGTCCCTTCCAACCCGGGTGATTCTGTGATTCTGTGATTCTGTGAACATACAGGCTTTCTGTAGTTAAAGCACTAAATGTCCACGTTGAAATTTCTTTTTTTTTCCTTCAGCCACAGGTTGAAGTACTTTCTGAGGAAGAAGGGGAGGAGGAGGAGGAGGAGGAAGATATACTTTCTTTAGCAGAAGAAAAATATAGGCCTGCTGCTCTTGAGAAGATGATTGCTCTGATTGCTCTCCTAGTTGAACAGTCTCGCTCTGAAAGGCAAGAGATTCTGAAAACCCAAAACCAAATTTTAATATGCTACTTGGAAATGGGGTTAGAGGTTTTTGTTTCATTTTTGTTTAAGCTGATCTCTTAAAAGCATAAATGAGCTTGCTATTGGTCCATGATATTTTTAACCATTTTAAAATAAGTGACCAAATATAGAGACTAAAGTCTCGAATCCATTCAATTGCTCTGATTTGCATTTTTTTCTTTCAGTCTATCTAATAAAAAATATTTATTTTTGTTTTATGTCAGTACCCTTATTTTCAAGTATGCTATGATAGCGAAGATTATAAACTAGCACTCACAGTCATAAATATCTCTTTAACCTAACTTAAAAATCACAGAAGTAAAATGATCAAAGTTTTCTTGTATTTTAGGCATTTGACTTTATCACAGAATGACATGGCAGCATTAACAGGAGGAAAGGTAACTGATTTAAATACAAATGTATAGACCTTTAAAAAAAAACAACAGGTATCAGCATGTATAGTTGTAAACAATGTACTAATATCTAATTATTTGTTTTAGGGATTTCCTTTTTTGTTTCAACATATCCGTGATGGTATCAACATCAGGCAAACTTGCAATCTGATCTTCAGTTTGTGTCGGTACAATAATAGACTTGCAGAACATGTAAGTGTCAGCAACTGCAGCTGTTTGTTGAAAATGTTGTCTAATAAGTGTAATGGAATTTGTTATTTTAGCTGAATAAGCAAAAGTCTAAGTGAGTTTTGTTTGTTTCTTTCAAGATTGTGTCCATGCTTTTCACATCAATAGCAAAGTTGACTCCTGAGGTATGTAAACCTGCATATTAAATAATTTGTTTGAACTCTTTTCTGTTTTAAATTACTTAAATAATACTTCGCTCATTAAAAATATTGCATGGAAGATGGTCCATGAAAGTTTTTGTGACATAAAATAAAGCCTAACTTCACTGTGTATTAAGTTTTCTGAAGCAGAAATCTGGTATGCGATTTCAGATGAAAACCAAATAACTTGTTTCTAGACTCGTCACCTATGTCATTTTCATAAGATTGATAAAAAAATAAAACATGAACGCTAGAATAAGTGGAGATAAGGAGTTATCTTTTTGTTGTTCAAGTTTTGGCAGACTATTTTGCAGTTCTGTGCATACAAACACTTTTCTCAGACGGAATAAATTCCTGCCCTGGTAACAAAAATACTGAGAGTTCTAAATGGATTCCACATGATAAAATATAGAGTGGAGCTCATGCAAGGACATTCTTGTATATTGCTGTCAGAAAACTAAAAACAATCAGGAAAAATTGAAGGTATGTCAAAGAGAGGAGACATGATCATAGTTGGAAAGACACACGTACGAAACCATTCTCATGACAGCTTTGCTTTGCGTGATAGAATGGGCACTATCAGATGACAGTCTACTTCCCTCCCATCGTGCTATTACTGCATTTTACTGCTTTTCCTTTTTTTGCTTTGCACAAATGCACATGCACAAAAGATGCTTTTGCTGAGGTGCGAAATATTAAATAATAGTAAACACGTTACTGAAGTGCTGTTAAAAGCTAGATGAGTCTTGGCAAACGTAAAATAATGATGCATTTCATGAGAGTAGACGGTGGTGGTTTCAGAGGGAAACCATGGGCCAGAAATAACGATCAGTGTAAAACCTAAAAAATAAAGTGATTTTTTGGATAAACTCTTTGGGCTACGTGTTACCTGTTATGCAAATACACTTAAAAATGACATTTCTGAGATAGTGTTATCTATACTAATGGGAAACTTTTGAATTTTTAAATGCTGTCCAGCTTGATTTTATTCCCTTTGTTCAGAGTAATGTCTGATTTTAAATATTAATGTTATTTCCTTGTAACTATATATTTCTAGTAGATTGATCCTGTCTAGTTCGATAGTGCTATCTTCATTGTAACCACTGGTTTAAATCTGTATGTGGATATAGCAGAATTAAGATATAAATTCAGATAATCGGTTGATTTAGGGATTAAATAATAAGGGATTAAAAGTAATTAAAATGTTAAGTTCTGAAGTTAGCAGAAATTAAGCAATTATTTGGAATGGTTTAACTTATCTAAAAATATTAATGGATTGAATGAAGTAGATAAAAATGGCAATTTTTATTTTTATGCATTACAGGCAGCCAATCCTTTTTTCAAATTGTTGACTATGCTAATGGAATTTGCTGGTGGACCCCCAGGAATGCCACCTTTTGCTTCTTACATTCTGCAGAGGATTTGGGAGGTACAACCTGTTTTAAAAAAAATAAAATCAGGAGCTGAATTGTCTTGCTTACTTTTTTTTTTTATGTACATGAAAGGGTGTTACATTTCCCTGTCATCCTCCTTTGCATCAATTCATGAACTTTTCAAGAGCCTTTTTCTTTCAGAGAAACAGCGATGGTTTATAAATGTTAAGTTCTATTCTAACCTTTACTGTTGTTTCAGTAGCATTCTGGTTAGCTGGTATTTCAGGTTAACTTTTAGTTTAATGAGAAATGAATGCATAATAGGGGTCTGGATAGCTTCTGAGCAAATTCCACTAATTTTTCTGAATTATTGTTTTAGAAAGACTGTAAACTGGTTTGAGGACTATTCTTAGTTGTTTTCTTTTTTGCCTGATATGTGCTGGTTAAGTGAATATCGGGTTGACATTTTTGTTCTCTATAAAATAGCGATGAATTGTCTAACCCATAAAATAAGTGCTAATTGGAATCTAATGAATAATTACTGTGGTGTTGGAGCATTCTCACTCACATTTCTAAAGAGAAAGACATTTTTTAACTAAGTGGCACCAGTTAATTGAGAAATAACGAAATAGATCAGGAATTAAAGCCTAGGTTCAGTTAAACTGCTGTTTGAGTTTACTTATTACAGTCTGAAGACTACAAGGGAAAGCTATTGAACATTCTTTCTCTTTTAAAACTTAAGGAAAAAAAAAAAGAGGAGATTGCTCCTGATAAGTTTATTTTTTAATGTTGATTAAAATTTTATAAGCAGAGCGTCGATCTTGTTAGCTGCTTATATTCTACAGGTGGATTATAGTAGTTGGGAGCACCTTTGGCAATGCAGTTACTGCTTGTGTTTTCCTAGGAGATCCTTTTTTTCTTATCCAGGTAGCTATACCTTAAAGTTAACAGCACACAGTTTTAAAAACACCTTTAAAATAAAAGAACTTGGTTTATTAGCTTGATAACGCATTGGTAAATTTCCAACCTTGTAGAACTAGAAAGGCACAGGAAATTATGTTGTATTTGTAAGGCTCTTGTAATTGAACAACAGCACTCCATGGGCTTTTCATTACCTGTCAAAAACAGCAAGTGAATGTATTCCTTCAAGTTGTGTAGTTGGATGATGAGTAACAGCATAAAGCCAGATCGACTAATTTGCATACCGTTTATATTCTTCCCATATAACTGCAGTAAAAACTGATTTGGTATTAAAGCTTTGTGTTATCTTAGTGTTATTTTAAATGTTTTTTATCTGTTTGTAAAAACAAGATTTTTCAGTTTTAAAAGTGCTTAACATTTCAACATTGAAGGTTCTTAAAATGTACAGAATGTAGAGGAACTACCTGGACTTGATTTTCAAAAGCTCTGAACACGATTCAGACGTGCAAAGCACACTGAAATTTAACAAGGGTTTTCTCTGCTGTAGTCCTCGCATGTGGTATGTACTTCAGTAGCTCCACTTAGTTTTAAAAAGTACCTTGAGAGTCATTATAGCTATTTTTAGTTTTTTCTTAATTAATAAATATTACTAGGGTTAACGTGTTCCTCTTGATTTTCCCGTTGTTCTTTCAGGTCATTGAATACAACCCATCTCAGTGCCTGGATTGGCTGGCTGTGCAAACGCCTCGAAATAAACTAGCGCACAGCTGGGTGCTACAAAACATGGAAAACTGGGTTGAACGTTTTCTTCTGGCACATAACTATCCTAGAGTGAGAACTTGTAAGTTAATTTAAATTAAATAATTGTGCTGTTGTTGCAAGTTATTATGCATATGGTATTCCTGTGACAAATATATGATCTTGTGCACGTATTTTCTACATCTTTCCAACTGTTTTACAGTTGCTCTATTTTTTAAAGTATTGCTATAAATGTGCCTCGTCAAGAGGCAGCTGTTATAGGTGAAAGCCGTATTTTTATTTCATTAATGAAAGAGTACATTAGTAGGTTCTTTACCTTACGTAATTAATCCACGTGTCCAGGAAAACCCGGTGAAGAAAAACAACTAAGCAAAGTTGTTCTCTGTAGTTTGCATCACATAGTTGCATTGTAGGTTCTTGCTCTTCTTTCAGCTATCACAAAGTAATCTTTAGTTGAATTGAGTCCTTTGAACTTTTGGATCGAAAATAAGTTTTTCGATCCAAAAATGAGCTTCTGCCCAGCTCTAACATGTACTGCCTCTGTAAGTTGTTCTGCCAGGATCACACTGCCAACATTTGTCACATTCAAATGTTGAGCCTTTCCCATGTCTAACTTTTGTTGTATAGAAGATTTGATAGTAATAAGCCACACTAAACTTCAGTACTGTTTCTGTGGTGGAAGGAGATGTGGAATCTTGGAGGTACAGCTTTGCAGCAGCTTCAGTCAAGCAGTAGGAAATAGTCATAGAAAGCATTTCTGTGCATTTCTGTGATGGAACGCATATTATTACAATAGTGAGAATCAAGCAGCAGACAGAAATAGAGGCTGAGTAGGACTGAAAGCTAACTCAACACCTCTTTCAACTTGCTATGTGCTAGTCTTTTCTACTGTTTTGTTCATCTCTAGAGGAAATATTGTCACATCAGATTCTCTAAAATACTCTAAAATCTGTGAATGGGGCATACAACATAATTTAACTTCTGTTTATTGGCTGTTGAACATTTACATCATTTTTGAAAGTGTAACACATCTGTTTTTATTTGAAGCTGCAGCCTATCTCTTGGTGTCGCTTATTCCAAGCAATTCCTTCCGTCAGATGTTCCGATCAACCCGCTCTTTGCACATCCCTACACGTGATCTGCCTCTTAGTCCAGATACTACAGTAGTTCTTCATCAAGTCTACAACGTGCTTCTTGGCCTTCTTTCGAGAGCTAAGTTATATGTTGATGCTGCTGTTCATGGCACAACAAAACTTGTGCCCTACTTCAGTTTTATGACATACTGCTTGATCTCAAAAACTGAGAAACTCATGTTTTCTACTTACTTCATGGACTTATGGAACCTTTTCCAGCCTAAACTTTCTGAGCCAGCTATAGCCACCAACCACAATAAACAGGCTTTGTTGTCTTTTTGGTATAACGTCTGTGTTGACTGTCCAGAGAACGTGCGCCTTATTGTACAGAACCCTGTGGTGACAAAGAACATTGCCTTCAATTACATCCTTGCTGACCACGATGATCAGGATGTAGTGCTCTTCAACCGTGGGATGCTGCCTGCCTACTATGGCATCCTGCGTCTCTGCTGTGAGCAGTCCCCTGCGTTCACGAGGCAGTTGGCTTCTCACCAGAACATCCAGTGGGCCTTCAAGAATCTCACGCCACATGCCAGTCAGTACCCAGGAGTAAGTAGATCAGTGCCAAAAAGTGGAATTTTGCTGTCGATGTTTCCTCCTTTACAGAATGTCTCCTTGATAATAAAGGAGTTAAAAAGATGTATGAATATATTCAGTGGAAAAATTATTCTATTTTTATTTACTGGTGTGTGTTCAGATCTGATTACTGTCAGGGAGGGATTGTTTTGGATTTTTTCCTTGCTGTATAGCAGTTGAAGAGCAGATGTTTTTTCTGGAAGCAGCCACTGATGTTTTCAAAAAATTCTGTGTAGTTGTAGGGAACAGGGAAAGACCTTTTAAGTGGTCTTACATTGTAACACGCTGTGTTGGAGGAATTCCCAGTGAGCTTTTTGATGGCTTTCAGTTTCTGGTACATGGCCAAGATTGGATGGCCTGGTGGTGCCTTTTGTAAAGTGTTGGTACTCTGTGAATTCTGCTGCCTCTGCAACATTATATCACGGTAAAAACAGATACTGGTGTCATTGTGGGAAGCCAAGCTTAGAAATTTTTAAAGAGGGGAAGCATGCAGTTTTCTATGACTGCTTATTTAGTATTGCTTTAGGATCATTTAGTGGTATGCAAGGTTAGAAAAAAATGATCTGGAGATTTTCTTCCCTGCATAGGGGAGGAGGATATGTGGAATCTTCTACACTGAACTTCAGTCTAGTTCAGCTCTCTGACTACAGGTGTACTGTAGCAGTTGTGTAAATGGTCTTACTGTTTGCATCTCCGTCAGAAGGGACTTTAGTTACTTTGGCATGTTTAGTGTTTTCCATGCACATAAAAGTTCAGCGAATTTAGCAGTTTCCTGAACCCTGTTATTTGGAATATAGACATCATCAGAGTTTATGTGTAATTGTGCTGCAGTTTATGTGTAATTGTGCTGCAAAAGAATGACCTTAAACTGCACAATAGAAGACAGGAAGATTGAGCACTTGGATCAAGGTTTCTCAGATACTTTTGTCTATGCAGATGTAGCAGTGAGCTGTTAAAAAGCATCAAAGCATGCATTCAAGGTTCAGAAAGATTTATCTCAAATGTCTATGTCATAATGCACATAGTAAATAGTAAAGACTAAAACCAAACCGCATTGAACATAGATATGAGGTCTGCAGCTTCTATGTCAGAATTTTAGTTTTTAGGTACTATTTAGCTTTAATTTTTTAAGTTTAAAATGTCTGCTGCTTTTCTGACAGGTTAAAATTTTATCACATCTGCAGTTGTTTTAAATACGTTATTTAAATGCTATTTTAGATTTTATTTATTAATTAATAGGAGGAATACAAAGGAATTTAAAAATGAGATGTAAACCATAATATACTGAGGGAGATGTCACTAACTTAATATTTTTGTGTTTCAGGCAGTAGAAGAACTGTTTAACCTCATGCAACTTTTTGTAGCTCAGAGACCAGACATGAGAGAGGAAGAGATAGAAGACATAAAGCAGTTTAAGAAAACCACCATAAGCTGTTATCTGCGCTGCTTGGATGGACGATCTTGTTGGACTACTTTAATAAGGTACATTAGCATTGAAGTTGTGGCATAGCTTGAACAAGAATGGTATTTTGTAGAATGTGAAGTACAATAAAACTTAGTGTAGGTCATTCTATACTTTTTTTAATTTTAAGGTTGCTTTTATGCAGAAGTAAACAACCAGATCAAATTACATTTTTTTCCAAAATCCAAAGTTGTGGATGTAATGTATTTTAGAAGATTTCAGCATCTAAAAATTCAGAAACTAAACAAACACTGTACAATAAGCAGATATAAACAAGATATATAGAAGATACGTACAATAAACAAGATATATATTGCTATGGTTCAAAAAGAATCACCATGACAAAACTACTAGAGCCCTTAGGGGGAAGAATCATTTAAATGCTGTAAGTCAGCATATAAGCTGAAATTCCATTCTCAGCCTACCATTATTTGTCTAGATTGACAAAACAGTAATTTCATTTGCCATCGGTAACATTTGTTATCTTGGGGCAGAAAAATTATTTAGAAATTGTATTTGTGGGACGGAATTTTATTGTTCAAATCTCCAATGGTTGTTTTTTTTTTTTCTAGTATATCTTACTATCTAGTATATCTAGCACGTCTGAAACAGCTGCTTGGGGTTGTTTTCCTTCAATGTAACTGCATTGTCCAGATATGTAGGTCAGGTACTGGGGTTTTAAATACAACAGCTGATATATTTAAACAGCTGTGTAGAAAGGAAGATGGCCTCTGTTACTTGAAAGGTTTACGTAGGTCATCTGTCACGGGATGCCATCAGATTTTCCCAAATGCAGTGCTGAGATGAATGACTCATTCTCTGTGCATAATCCTGTGAGAGATGAGCATGATAATTCTAAGCATATATAAGAATACGTATAAGAATTTGCAAGAATATTGCAAGAATATTGCAAGAATATCTCAATGTTTGCTTTTTTCTCCTAGTGCCTTCAGAATATTATTGGAGTCTGATGAAGACAGGCTTCTTGTTGTGTTTAACAGAGGATTGATTCTGATGACTGAGGTATTTTTGTTATTAATTTTGATAAACAGCTTACTTTTTTTACCAATCCAATACATCATTCCCATCTCAGCATTCACTTTAAATTGTTTTAGTGTGGTATCATTTAAAATACAGATGAACTATGTGGATGAATTACTGATGTGTAAATCTTAATTTTTAGGCTCATAGGAAAGACAAAAGATTTACCAGACATGCCTGAGCTATCATGTACAAATTTAAATGAGTAAATTTGAGGCAATAAAGATCTTCATATTAGATAAAAATAAGAGCTTACTAGATTAGTGATTTGGTAGGGTAATTATGAAAAATGTAGCTTAAATAGGAAAGATGAGCAAGAAATAGTAAGGCTGATATCTCAGATGTGTAGAGCACTTGCTCTGAAGTTCACAGTGGAGAGTAAATCAGGAGCTATTTTAGTTTAGTCTACTATAGATCACAAACCAGTAAAGGAAGTGAATTAGGTCTTTTGTAAATTTGGAGTAAAAAGAGATGTTAGAATACAGAAATAAGAGCTTATACCATTCTCAGATGGCAATTGCGATTAATAATTTTGAACAAGCCTTGAGGCACTTTTGAGGCAATTCTCTTCAGGTTCCCTATGCCCATTCTGCTTCTGTTTGCAGGAAGGAGTGGTTAAAGAATGCATAATCTAGATTTCTTTAAGATGAAACTAATCTTAAAACATCCGTTTCTGGAGCACACAGTGTATTACGGTGTAAATGGATATTTGGTCCATGATCAGATCAAAGTTGGTTCAAAATACAGGATTGATAATATAATGACATCCTGAAATGAGTGCAGTTGGATGTCAAGCCTCCCACCATCAAGAGTTTCATTCTACAAAGCTATTTGTACTGTCCTGCACTAATGCAGGAGAAGCCTGAAAGAGATTTCTGGACTGTTAGTGGCTACTTTTCGAAGTGAGTGAGATATGATAAAAATGAGAAGAAAAAAAAAGTTGATTACTCAGGTGGTTTTGGTGTGTTTTTTTCCCTCGAGGTGAGTGAAAGAGCTTGGATTCTATTCAGTGCTTCCATTATTGAATTTGATCATAGACTAGAAATTGTTTATGAGATACACTGGCAACACAAAATGGGCAGGGATGTTAGGTAGTTTGGAGTACAGGAATAAAATTCTGGATAATCTAGATGTGTTGGAGATGCACAGTAAAAATAAGATGAAATTTATTCTTGGCAGACTGTTATCATTAGGGATAAAACAGCTCCCCAGTGAGAACAAGCTGAGAGAGCTGGGGCTGTTTAGCCTGGAAAAGAGAAGGCTCTGGGGAGACCTTATAACAGCCTTTCAGTATCTAAAAGAGGGCTGTAAGAAAGAAGGGAACAGACTGTATAGGCAGGGTCTTTTATGGTAGGACAAGGGGAAATGGTTTCAAAGTGAAAGAGGGGCAATTTAGATTGGATAAAAGAAAGAAGTTTTCTACAGTAAGGGTGGTGAGATACTGGAACTGGTTGCCCAGAGAGGTCGTGGAAGCTGTGTCCCTGCAGACATTCAAGGTCAGGCTGGATGGGGCTCTAAGCACCTGATTGACCTGTAGATGTCCCTTTTCATTCCAGGAGAGTTGGACTGGGTGACCTTTTAGGGTCCTGGAACGATTCTGTGATAATAAACTGATATAAATGCATGGTAGAAAACAACTGGGTAGGAGGTAGTTTAAGCTGTACAGTAAATGAGGTATTGGAATAGGTTGCTACAGAAGGAGGTCAGCAGCACAAGTGGAAGTCTCCAGATGTTCTTCAAGCAAACATTTGTAGTGAAGGATATGAAGACATTCAGCCTGCCTTAAGGCATGTAGGTGGATTAGTGGTGCTTTGAGATTGGTTATTCTTAACCTTTTGATGTCACTACTTTGTGTTTTCTCAATCACATAATAGAAAAAGCTGGAATTACCAAATCAGAAGTGGCACAAATGAAGACACTGCAGTACTGTTTGAAAATTCATTTTTCCCAAGCTTCTTACAAATATAAGTGTTTTAACTAGCTATAATTAGTTTCCCTGGAATATGTTCCTTTCTGTCTTGTAAACATTTGCATTCCATAAACTTGGGATAAAAATATAGGAACTGAGTTATAACTTGATTTGTTTGTTTCTGAAACTGGTAAGTAAACTAAGGTACTCATATACAAAAAGAACTTACCTTGATTAACTTTGATTCCTACAAACAATTGATATTAATTTATAAAGAATGTGTAATACAAAGTACAGTTTGTCCCTTGTAAGATATTGCTAGAATTGGGATAAAACTTTCAATTGAGTTGCTTTATGACTTGAAAGTCGCAGGCCTTATCTCTTCCCTTGTTCACTGAAAATATTTTGCATCGTGAAAGTTACTGCAAACATTTATCATGTGCAGAACAGTTTTCCATTCTAGCAAGGTGTATAGTCAATAGGTGTACAGAAGTTAGGCTAAGTAGGATTATCACGGTGGAAAGATAATAAATGGAAAATGCTCATTGATGTTGTAGGCTCACCATAAACTCCACGAGGAGCAATCTCCAGAAAGAGATCCTTCCTCAGTGGCAGTCAGCCCTTAAATGGGAGCTGGGAGAGGTGCAGCCAGGCTCCACCCCTTCCAGTAGCACCAGTGAATTGCCTTCGCCTGTGCTCCTGTGGCTGGTTCAGTGCTCACCTCAGGTGATCAATCAGAGGTTCAGGCCGTGATCAGCAGTTCCCATACATAGGGTTTGCCATGTATCTTATCATTATGATACAAAAATGCCAAGGTTTTTGCACTATGGGGAATGAGATTGTTTCTTTCTTCAAAATACCCTCAACAAATTAAATAACACTTGTTACATCTTGTGCTAGAATTGTTGTGCTGCTGGAAATTAGTTTTCCTTATCAACATTTCTATAAAAGTTATTTTAGAAGATATTTTTGTTAGAAAAAAGCTAAGTAATTCACCTAACGTATGTACAGTCGTATGAGCATTAAGTCCTTAAGCAGCACTTGGAAAAATCTATCTGTATCAGTCTTGTAGATTGTTTTCTGTTTTTTACCAAAAATTAGTATACCCATGCCTTTCTTTATACATTTCTAATATCACTTGGAATGTTGGCAAAAAGATAAAGCTTATAGATATGTAAAAATATTGTACCTCAAGTTATGTTTTATTTATTGTGTTTTAGATAGATTTTGTTTTTGAAAACTTTGTCATTATTTTGTGTCAAAGTGATCGTAGTCTGCGTAACTCTCACTAATATAAAGCTTTTAGGTTGAAGTCAGATTTGGAATGTTTATAAATGGGTATCTGTAGGAGTTGCTTTGTGTGTCACAAAACTGCTTTTTTCTTGAGCAGAGATGAAGGGTATGGAGGTTGTTGTTATGGTAAATTTTACAAGGTTAGTGTCCCTCTGGCATGCGTATGTGAAACACTGTATATGACTCTGTTTTTTGGGTTAGGTGAGAAAAACACAGTTCAGCCTTATGACCAAGAGCAAATTTCAGTTTAACCTCCGTGGATTACTTACAGTTCATTCTTATAAATACTGTATGCCCTAAGAATCATATTTAGTTGTCATAAAAGATACCCAGTCATTTCTCCCCATCCCTCCCTCCTTCTTTCTCTGTCGCATTCTAATTGTGTAAAAAACATTGCTCTTGTTTTAAAGGTTATGTTTCTAGTAACTTTTGATTACATCTGACATTGATACTTACTTTGATTTCTTGTACATGAAATAAATGTAAAAGTGGTATTTGCAGGATAGAAATAGAAATGATAATGATGTGTTGTTCGGCAACATGAAGTTGTGCATTTTTTCTTTTAGTCATTTAACACATTACACATGATGTACCATGAGGCTACCGCTTGCCACGTGACTGGAGACCTGGTAGAACTTCTGTCTATATTCCTTTCAGTTCTTAAATCGACACGTCCGTATCTTCAAAGAAAAGGTTTGGTTACAACTCCTCAAAGGTTTATGTTTTTTGTCTACTAATTAGTTTTTGTGACCCAAAACCTCGTATTCTATCTTGCTCAATATTTGTATTTAAATTTAAACTTAACATACATGTGATTACTAGATTGTTTCTTATTAAATTACTGTGTACATAATCTGAAACTAGATTTAGTTTGAGATTTATTAGATTTCTAGAATGAGAAAAAGTAACGTTAGAAGAAAAAAGGCAAATTCTTCAGCAATAAAATTCCATACTTGATTTATAGATCTCTCATGAAATTAAATTAGCAGATTTCTGTGTTTTTTTGCATTCACAGATGTGAAGCAAGCTCTCATTCAGTGGCAGGAGCGAATTGAATTTGCCCATAAACTTCTAACTTTGCTGAATTCCTACAGTCCTCCGGAACTTAGAAATGCTTGTATTGGTAAGTCATAATATTATGAATGCAGTTAAGAAGAACCTGCTTTATGTAGTTACCTGATTTGAAATTTAAATTCTATTTTTGCAAGAGCACATGCTTACTAGATAATCTATGGATTTGAATTCTTGATATTATTGTTGACAATGTATCATTGTTGCCATCATTCCAATAATAAATAATTCTGTTTTCATTAGGCTGCAGTTAATATTCATTGCTAGGTGTGCAGACTGTGCACAGAAAGTCATCGTCCATCTTGAGAGACAAATTTGCAAACCTGACTTAGTAAAAGTCAGATGCAGGATTAAGGAATAACTCAATAACTCAAGTATTAAGTCAGTTCAGAATCAGATCCCAGATCTTTCATTAAAATTCTGATACTAACTTAAAATCTCAAAGGGGAACGTGCTGACCAAGTTCATCTGCGTTACAACTTTAGCATCTACCTTTATGATCCATTTTCTGCAAAGTATAATATAAATAAAGTTTAAGAACTTGTAGCAGTGAATGGATTAGCTTTCTAAAATTGTATGCATAGATGTTGTATGTAATGTGTCTGGTTTGTGCTACAAGGCCTATTCCAGAAGCTTTTTTGGAAACAGATTTTCAAAATAAATTTTAAAGGATGCAGTCTGCATTTTTTGGCATGCTAATGATGGCCCAGAACCTTGTCCACATTAAACTTTACTTGTGTGATCTGCATGCATTTTCCCATTATTTTGAGTGCCTTTCTAATTGTCCTTCTGACTGCTGCTGGTTACATTTTCCAGGTATCAAACCTGATATGTTAAAGAAGAAGGAAAGAGGGTAATTTTATTGAGCTTCTACTTTCTGCAAGCTGGCACCCCTCTCATTGGTTGTACATTCACTGTTGAGCAGGTTTTTCTACAGTTGGCAGAGGTGAAGGGAGTCCTGACTAATTATTCAGGTTCACTTCGCGTGTTGTTCACAGTAAAGCTACCTCCACAGTGCACACTAGCAAAAGAGAGATGAAAGAGTGAAAATGCATGAGCCATAAGTTGAACTGTTTTCTGCTAAGAAATAACAATATATAATAGAAAAAAACCTTTTTGTTTGTAGATGTCCTCAAGGAGCTTGTACTTTTAAGTCCTCATGATTTCCTACATACTCTGGTTCCATTTCTACAGCACAATCATTGTACATACCACCACAGTAATATCCCAAGTACGTATTTCAGTGATTGTATTTTGAAGTTCTGTTAATCTGTTATTACTCTGTCATGTTTCTCATTGATGTTAGATACTGACCTTTTCGTATCTATTTTATCCTACCTTGTACTACAGTGTCTCTTGGACCTTACTTTCCATGTCGTGAAAACTTGAAATTAATAGGGGGAAAAAGCAATATTCGTCCTCCACGTCCCGAACTCAATATGTGCCTCCTGCCTACTATGGTAGAAGCCAGCAAGGTACGTAAGCATGGTCTTTATTCTATTTGCAGTGATTTTTCCTTTCTATAAAAAGTATGGTAAGAATCCATTAGCGTATTATTTTCATTTTCTTTGTAAACGAAGCATAATTCTTCTTCAAGATGTGTTGTCCTCATATACTCCATTCTAGATGTGCACTCCAGAAACACCATTTTCCTGCCTTTGGTGATACACAGCTTCATTATTCCAGATACGATAAGAGTTGAAACCTTGTATTCAAGGTAAAAACTACCAAATGAAAAGCTACAAAAAAAAAAAAAAAAAAAAAAAAAAAAAAGCGCCCATATTTGATAGTTTTCCAGTCTGTTTGTAGCATTTATAAAGAAAATTCAGGAACAGCCCAGGCATTGGTCCAGATGGGTTTGAAACCATGTTAAGGTTTATTAACAGTTAAGTAGATCCTCCACATTTCATTAAGCGTCCATTCCAAGAGAACTGAAGCACAATCTACTTATTGTTTGGGTAAAATACCAGTACTTGACATACATAGGGCAGTTTTATAGTGCTCTGGATCTTTTCCTTTCTACTTTTCCTTCTGTGGGCTTCCCTTATGGGATGCCAGCTGTGGTGGGGTGACATCACAGTCACTTGCCATGTCCCGATATTACAGTTGAACAATGGTGGGATTCAGCTTACCAAACTTTGACTATCTAAAGATTGTTGTTCTGCCCTTCCTGTGGCTAATGGAGAATTGCACCATCAGGAGGTTGATCCTTCATGTATTAGGCACCTGAGCCTGGGCAGCAGAGCATATTCAAATGAGTAGATTTTAGATAGCTAAAGTCAGGTAAGATGAATCCCACCCTTAAATGAATATGTATGGACAACCATTTGAAGAAGGAAAGCTGGTTACTCGCTGTAAGGTAACCGTAGTTCTTCAAGATGCTTTGTCCACACAGATTGTGATCTTCCTCCTGTGCTAATGCAGAGCCCTAGGGGAATTCTTACCGGTGAAGGATTGAGTGGTGGTTGAAGCCGCCATACCCCTTATGCCCTCAGGTACAGTGGTCGCAAGGACACACTGAGTGCAGGCACTGCCCCAGTGGACACTGCTATTCAGAAAGAATCCAGTCTCCTGCACATGGGGTGTGTGTGCACGTAGATGGGAATCTGTGTGGGCAACACATTTCGAAGAAGCACGGTTACTGTAGGGTAAGTAACCCTTCTTTTTTAAAGCTTTCAAAATGATGCTTTGTGTATTTGTGCACCATCAAATTTACTGTATGTTTTTTTAAAAAAAGGCATAGAACAGGAAATTACTCATGTTTTTCCATCTCATATCCAGCAGCAGTGGATACAACAGAAAATAATGTAAATATTTGAACTGAAAAGTCATATGACACAGTATTTCACAAGTTATAATCCGTATACCGTAAGAACTGGAAGGTTTGTGAGCTTCTAGAACCCCATGCAATTATGTTTTACCTGTTGGTTTTTTGTTGCATGCTATTTTTAATTTGTTCGTTTTGTAAAAGATGGCATTTTCTTTGCTTGAGTGTTTGAGATTTCCTTTCGGCTATCTGGCCTACAGAAGCCCATTTTGAGTACATATATCCAAAATATATTAAATACTGGCATACAAAGCCCTTGGCACGTTTACCATTCGGTTTGGGATATTCCTGAAAATACTGCTTTGAGAGCTTGTGAAGCTTTATCTTGAGAAAATTCTGACTTCTGCACATAGTAACTGACAAATTATGATTTGCAAAGTAGTAGTGTATATATTTAGGTATCTGGATATGGTATGAAATTACTGTATCCTCATTCTCTTCAAGGTAAGGTATTCATGCAGCTTCACATCTTCTCAGTCAGTTTATTCAGAATCCTACATTTTTACTGCCAGGGAACATTATGTGCCATCCCTGTGCCATTCTCGACGTTGTGCTTAACAAGGACACAGTGGTGAGACACATCTGGACTGAGTGAGACTTGGAAATCCCCTTGCTGTAGTCCTGTAGTATTTGATGACATGTTTTAGGGCAAGAAGTGCAGGGAAATCAGGCTAGGTGCTTGGAAAATCTGGTAGTGGTTGAGCTGCTTACATAGTTTAAATGAAGTTCTCTTAAATCTCCAGGGAAAAGATGATGTTTATGATCGTATGCTGCTAGACTACTTCTTTTCTTATCATCAGTTCATCCATCTACTGTGCCGAGTTGCAATCAGCTGTGAAAAGTTTACTGAAACATTAGTTAAAATGAGTAAGTATGAAAGTTAAACAGCTTAAGGATGTTGGTTTTTTTAATTGTGATAATTGTGAGCACTTCTCCAGCAAGTTTTGTGTTCAGTATTCTTAAGTAGCTGCACTTGTGGAACTTGATGTATTAATTACTGTGGAAATCAGTTTCCCATAATCTACCAAACAGTATAATGCAGTACATTCTTACCCACATGACTTTTATGCTTCAGGCTTCTGCAGAATGGACATGTGACAGTCAGTGAGAATTCATTCTACTTGTAAATAGGTTTCACACAGAGCTTTGTGTCAGCTCCAAAATCCTCATCACCTCTGCCAGACAGCGTAATTTCTGGCACTTATTTTGTCTTCTCAGGAGCATGTGAGACCATTTATCCTGTCACTGACAGTGTTGGTTCTGTAGTAGAACGTGAGTTTGTTTATCTTACTCCTTCTGGGAGCCCACACAACAGTTAACCCAAATTAACAACCATCCAGTCATGTCATTTGTACCTGAAAACATAGATGTTGTTTAAGCTCCACAACTAAGTGTTACCACTGTGTGGGATTTTTTCCTATCACAGTATAAACCTAGTCTTTAACATGTGTTAGCAAAGGTGTTGCTGGCTTTATCTGTCTGAATTGCTCCAAGCATTCTGCCTGCGTCACTGCAGAAGAGCATCCTGCCATGAACTGCCCATTAGGTGCATGTGTTACTTTGAAGGCACATCATGGTGCGTGTTTTGTTATCTTTTTCCCACCAATGACCCCAAGATGGGCTCCACTTTCCAGTGTTGTAGTGAAGATGCAGAAACATTGCAGTCACACAAATACAGTTATTGCGTAGATAAACATTTCAGGAGCTGTCTCTTCAATTCAGTTATTAAAATTAGGCATCTTGCCAGATTTCCTTCTGTAGTCGCTCAAGAAAAGTAGATTACATCCAAGAAAAAGTATTCTATAGATTCTTAGACACCTTGAGCAGCATGAACCACCTTCCAAAGATGCCAGCTTGTTTTTTCTGTTGAAGACAAATAGCTAGCTAAGATTAAATGCCAAACTTGTAGATAAAAGGATACAAAATTAAGTTACCTTCAAACAAGAATGGTAATAGAATGTTCTTTTGATCCCCAAATCACCCAACTGCACATTTTTTATCATACTGCTGTGATTGTAACTCTTGCATTATTGTTTACTATAGGTTGTGTTAGTTAAAACTGTTCACTGGAAATATGTCTCTTTGCTGTTGGTGCTTGGGAAATAATGAGAATGACACTTAAAAATTTATGTGCTATTTTTGAGAAAATTTAAACCTTTTGAATGTTGTAGCTGACCAGCCATAAAAAGACTTGAAAGTAATGAATATAATGAGTAACTTAAAAATAATGAAAAAATCTGGTTACAAATGTAAAACTAAAGCCAGCTCTGTTCTTTATTTTTACATTTCCCAGAAGTACTAAAGGGATACATACATTTATTAAAGATACTGTAAAAACTTCACAGACCAGAGGTCTTTCTAATTATAAATTAAACAAAATACTTTACTCATAGCAAATGTTATGGCACTTTGTTCCTGTTTGTATAAGTGAGCATCTCCAAGGAAGGTGAACTTGCCATTATTCACAAAGTAACTTTTACTTTCTCAAAATTTCAGGTGTTCTTGTTGCATATGAAGGTTTACCACTTCATCTTGCATTGTTCCCCAAGCTTTGGACTGAGCTTTGTCAGACTCAGGTAAGAGTCAGTGTACTGGAGAACTAACAGGATGAAAATAAAAGCAAAACACAACAGCTGTAAAACAAATTTTAACCTGTACATCTTAACCAGTGGGTCTTGCTCAGTCATTCAAAATATTAAATATTAATTCTGTTTTGAATAAAAAATACCCCTGCTTGTGTTATCTGACATCTGATAAAACTAAGTGAATGAAGTTTAAAAATGTAGCAAACTGAAGTATGCCCTAGGTACTGCAGAAACTTATGCAGTGTATATGATAGTACAGTTATGTAGTAACATTACATGATGGTAGTAGTCTCCACAGTAGCCTGCTTTCCAGCTTTTTATGTCTTATAATCACAAGTATGATTGAATGAAAATGGAGAGATCTCTAACTCTGAGGTCTTCCTTCTGGAATAGAACATAATGTGATTCTGTGATAACATGCCCACTTTTGCACCTTTGCAAGAGGATGCTGTAGTTGACTCAGGTTAGGAGACTCTGGCCCTTCAATTACATCCTGGTCGTGATAAACCTGCATTCCTTCAGAATAAACTTCATAAAAGGAAAACGTGAAATAATTGACAGCACTTAATTTGTACAGTTTACTCATAGCTGATCAAAATGCTTTTATCAGTGAGATTCCTCCTGTATGAATTAAAAACATAACCAAGCCCACAGATATTTCTCCGCCTAAACTACTGAAAATTGTGCTGCTGCAGTGATTTACTTTCAGTAATGGCTCTGAAGTGTGCTTTCTTTCTTTACCAGTCTGCAATGTCAAAGAACAGTGTAAAGCTCCTCTGTGAAGATCCAGTTTTTGCAGAATATATAAAATGTATTTTAATGGATGAAAGGACCTTTCTTAACAACAACATTGTGTACACCTTTTTGACGCATTTTCTTCTGAAGGTGAGTGATCTTTTATTGGAAGTTCCAAGAATTGTAGTCTGGTGTATGTTCTTTCAGCTTAAGATACTGTTTTCACAGTTCCATTTTTTGTGGTTTAAAAGAATCTGTTATTTTACAGGTCCAAGGGCAGGTGTTTTCTGAAGCAAACTGTGCCAATTTAATCAATACTCTAATTACAAATCTAATAAATCAGTATCAAAGCCTAGAATCTGATTTCAGCAGCCAGAGAGTTGAAATCTCCAAAGCAAGCTCTGCTTTAAATGGGGTGAGTCTTTTCTAAGCCATTCAATAATCAGCATCATTAAGAGGCAGCTTACTTTTATGGAAGCTCTTCAGCACCGTTTGTCAGCTTCTAAAGAGATAGGTATGGTTAGCTGAGTTGTCTGGCTGGACGAGTTAATTAACGCATGCAAGATAAGCGTGCATGCATTGTTTCAGTGTGCACAGAATGCATGCTTGAGTCTCCAAGGTGGGAATCATAAGACTTGAAAGGTGGGCTAATAGCAGGAAAAAGAGCAACACGAAGTGCAGGAGTCACTGCTATGTTTTAACCCAGCAGTGCTTACCGTGGGCAGTGCAGGACAGATATGGGTTCAGGTCAGCATGTTAGCAGTGGCTAAGAAATTTTAGTGGCGTGAGTATATTTACAATTTGATCTTTCGGATGTTCAGAACATCTTGAAGCCTCAACTTACAGTCTCTGTGTAGCTTTAATCAGAAGAGTTTAAAATAAGGCTGATTAAGGTTGGTTGTTTATTTTTTTAGGACCTCCGAGCACTTGCCTTGCTGCTCTCAGTGCATACTCCTAAACAGCTCAATTCAGCCCTGATTCCGACTTTACAAGAACTTTTAAACAAGTGTAGAGCATGTCAACAACAGAGGAATTCACTACAAGAACAAGAAGCCAAAGAAAGAAAAATTAAAGGTTTGCCTTCTGTAATGGTTTCAGTCAAACAGTGCTCTGATTTTGCAAAGTTTTACAAAATTAACATAACACATGGCTTTCTTACCACAGAAATCAAGCCGTTTCTTGGTTCCTGTCCTTAACACTACACAAGATATTCTGTATTATTATGGGGCTAAGACAGTTACATGAATTGTTGTTAAGGAAATAAGTATTTGTTGAAATATACTGTGTTTAATACAGAAAAATAAATAAAAAAAAAAAAGTGAAAGGAATGTCCTGCTGCTTGGGTGTATGGTGTGAAAGCAATGTTTCCTTTATAGAGTTTTCTTTTTTTCCTTACAGATGATGAAGAGGCTACTCCTGTAAAAAGAAGACGGGTCAGCAGTGATGAGGAGCACACCGTAGACAGTTGTATCAGTGATATAAAAACTGAACCCCAGGAAGCACTGACCCCAACAAGCACTTCAGATAATGAGACACGGGACTCTTCGATCATTGATCCAGGCACTGAACAAGATCTTCCTTCCCCTGAAAATAATTCTGTCAAAGAGTACAGAATGGAAGTTCCATCTTCATTTTCAGAAGACATAATGCTGACAATGAGGTCACAACATACAGAAGAGCAGTCAGGAAACGGTAAATTTCAAGAATGCAAAGAATTTAAAGACCAGACTTCCAAGGATTCCGCTGTAGCAGAGGAGGACTCAGAGTTTCCTTCCACATCGATTTCAGCAGTTTTATCTGACCTCGCAGATTTGAGAGGCTGTGATAGTCAAGCCTTATCATCCCAGGACCCTGAAACTAGTTTATCAATCACTTGTGGCCATTCCAGAGGACTTTTTAGTCTTATGCAGCAGCATGACATTTTAGACATCCTGTGTAGGACCATTGAGTCTACAATTCATGTGGTTGCAAGGATATCTGGAAAAGGAAATCAAGCTGCTTCTTGACATTAGATGAAGCATGTCTGCTTCTTTTTTTTCCTTCCCTCCCCCAAAAATGCTGTTGCCTAAGTTTTGCTTATTTCTGTTCTGTGCTTCAGTTTGTCCAGTGCTCTCTGCTTGAATGGCAAGATAGACTTATATGCTTAATTCTTGGTCAGGCAGATCTCCAGTTTTATTTTTTGTTTGTTTTTGGATTTCTTTTTTGCATCTACCATACACTTTCTTAAAGGGCAATCAGATAATGGATATGTTTTATGTAATTAAAAATTCACTGTAGTGGCTTTCATTTAATATGGCTGTCTGGGAGAACAGGGCCTCCTTGCCCTGTATGATGTAATTTAAACTTATGGCATTTTTACTGTGTATAATATGGTGTCCTCTGTGCCAGTTTTGTACCTTATAATAGAGGCAGATTGCCTCAGATCGCTGTGGTTCTTATTATCAAAATTAAGTTTACTTGTATACTAAACAACCACAAGAAATTTGATTCTGTAAAGAATCCTCTTTAGCTGTGGCCTGGCAGTATATATATGGTGCTTTATTTAACAGAATACCTGTGGAGGAAATAAAGCACACTTGATGTAAAAATAATTGTTTTATTTTTATTGACATGATCAATTGCTATTCTGTGCACTTCATTAAACTGATTGTGATGACTTTTCATTTGTTTATATATGTTATTGCTTCACTCTTTGGATTTCTCATCAAAGATAACATAAAAACTATAACAAGTGCAGAGTATGCTAAGCAATTTCTATAAATTTTAGGGTTCTTTTGTTTACTATGCATGAATCACAGTTGAGAAAGATTTGTTGTTTACTTTTTTTCAGCAGCTAAGAACATGATGTGGTGGAAGAAACTAGTTGAACTTTTTTCATTTTGTCCATTTCCAACTTAACCTGTCTGAGGCTACTCCTTCCTTCTTCTCCTATTCCACTTGCTGTCTTCCTTTGACCTTCTATGCATGCTGCCTTGAGGCATGCTCTCTCGCTTTCTCAGAACCTTCTCTGCTTGCTCAAATGCAGGACTGACTTCACCATCTATTTTGTTCCATTTCCTCATGTTATTTCTAAGTAATATGCATTTCCTAGTTACCTTCTGGATTGTCAGTGATTCTGATTTTGACATCTAATTAAAATCCATTTTCACATTGATCTTCCAGTAGCTTAGTTCATTTGGGTTTTTGTCTTCATAACACATCTGTATTTTTTCTTCTGTGCTCCTTAATTCTGTCTACCATTTAATGTAGTTCAGCATCATTTTCACATCTGCAATTTTATTGTGTGGTGCTTTTGTTTGTCTCTTCATCTCTTCGTCACTTCTAAAAAAAATGGTCTTTGGTCAAGCATTTCTGTCTCAAGGTTTATGCTCCATAACCCCTTTCATTAGCACTTTTATTCCTGCATTAGAAACCCTGCTGAGGGCTTAAGTTTGCCATGTCATTTTTCAATTGTGTAATTACATTTTTTGTTCTCTTTGGAAAAAAAACTTTATTACCCCTTCAGATCAGCTTCTGTGTAGATTGTATAAATTTAGAGACATCAACAGCTTCTACTTAAAACTTGTACATTAATGAATATCAGAACTGATCTGTCGAGTTTTCTACCACACATAGGAATTTGTGGATGGGTTAAGACGTTTGGAAGACACCTCTCAGTTTAAAATCTGCAGTAGATAAAGAAGGCATTAGCCCCTCAGTAAGTAGTCTTATTAATTACTCTTAGTAAAAATACACGTCTGATTTTTGTTAGACTTAAGCTTCTGGCTAGCAGGTCAGTGGCCTTTGGCTTCTTGTACAGGACTAAATCATACTGTAATTGTCACTGAAGAGTTACAGTTCTGTCCTGTGACAATGGTTATGAGATTCAGCAAAGCCAAGTGCAAGGTCTTGCACCTGGGTCACAACATACAAGCAGGGGGATAGAAAGATAACAGCATGGCCCTGCCAAAAAGAACTCAGAGAATGCTTTGCCCAGACCTGATAGCAGCCTTTCAGTATCTGAATGGGGCTGAAAGAAAGTAGGGACAGACTCTTAGGCAGGGTCTGTTGTGACAGGACAAGGGGAAATGGTTTCAACCTAAAAGAGGGAAGATGTAGGTTGGACAGGAGAAGTTTTTTTTTTACAATAAGGGCAGTGAGGCACAGATTGCCTAGATGTGGTGGATGCTCTCTGTGGAGATATTCAAGGTCAGGCTGGAATGGGGCTCTGAGCACCTGCTGGGAGCTGTAGATGTCCCAGTTCATTGCAGGGCAAATGGGCTGGATGACCTTCCAATTCAAATGATTCTGTGATTCCATGAAAACCTTTTATTTATTTATTTATTTTAATGTAAGGACAGTCAACCAGGTACTCTGTGGAGGAGAAAGGACAGGCAATCATTGCCCATTTCTAAGGAAGCTTAAACATATCATCAAACTGACAGCTACAGTTGTCAGCTGAGAGAACAAGGATTCTGAAAAGTGTTGAGTTCACTGCATGTTTTACTAGAGGAAATGAGGGCTGGCTGGAGCTGTTCCTCCTTCTACACTGTTGGAACAGCAAACCTTTTCAGGGGTGTTTGTCCCACACCTGGAAATGAGTGGTGCAGCGCTGGAGCACACGTCAGTCTTTTTCTTTAAGCACTGCTATTTGTTCAGATGATGCCTTGTTCCACTAGCAGTAGTAGCCAAGAAAACTCAGGCTAGCAAAACATGCAAGTAGTGGTGGGCACTTGTGATTGTAAAACTGAAATTCTTTAGTCAGCAGGGAAAAGTCACGCTTTCCAGAAAAGCACTGGGTCTGTAAGATATGCTGTTTGGAAAGACCTGTAATTATTATTTTTTCCTTCTACTAACTAAGACTTCGGTATCTAAGAGTAGTTGGCACATCCAAACTATCACAAAATCTCTTTGCTGGTCTACACCCAAAACTGATTAGCCTAATCTCCGTTTAGTACTTTCAAATTTAAACCTAGATTTTCTATATTTACCAGGTTTTCTATACTTATTGCCTCTTCATCAACCAATACTTGCTCTGGCAACCATTTCTGTATTCAAAATGTAAGTTCTTTTGCTTGAATATCTAGGAATAAAAGAGTACCTAGACTTTAAGCATTTAGAAAAATATAAACCCAGTCTGCTAAAACAGCATTTCTTGAGAGGTTGTTCTCTCTCTATGGACAGAAGGAAACAGGAGTAGGATAGCTCAGTTAACAGAATTTGTACTTTTATCCTGTTGATGTTAGGTGTCTGTGCTTGTTAAAACAGGCCTCACAGAAGTGCAAAGGGGATAACCAACTGCAAACTTGTAAGGGAAAGCTGCTCCTGGAGGAGAAAGGCAACACCCCTTCTGCTTAATCTTCTGATTTATTTAAGTTTGTTGATGAAATTGCTGTATGTTGTCATACTATAAGATAAAGTATATAGGACTTATCTGACAAACTAACCAGTTAGTGGAGAAAACAAATTTCATGCAAAAGTATTTTATTAATCAGCAGTGTTTTCCCCAGGCAACTCAGCTATTCTTGGTAAATTTGTTTCAAACTGCATACTTGACTCCTTTGAGAGTTAAGTTATCCTTGCAAACCTCAATGTGGCTATAAGTAGGATATTGAAACAATTGTTTATCTTATCAAATTTTATCTAACACTTTTTTGCTTTATTTTGAGCTACAGAATTGTGAAGGGCCAGAAATCAAGAGAAAGATTTACAGAACTGCAAGAAAGCATTATTTTGGAAGAAATGAACAGTAATAAATTTCACAATAAGGTTAAGTAAGGCAGTAGGCTGCATGCAGAAGACTTAACAAGTGGTAAGCATTGTACCATCCAGAATAACGTAACATTTCTAATTATCTTTCCCAAAAACTTTCTACAGCATTAGAAACAATGGGCCTGCAGTTAAGCAAGTTTCAAAAACATACACAAGGAAGCTGTAACATTCCCCACATTTCTTTATCATCCCTTTTATAATCTTTCAGTTGAACTCTCATGAACATCCCCTTTTCTAACATGACAGTTTTGCCACTTGATACACTGAATATTAAAGAATGGCAAAAGCTTTCTACTGATTAATGTAGCTTTCCTAGCTCTGGTGGCACTACTATACTGTGTCTAAATCATAGTTTCTCTCTCAAGTGAAGCTGTACTAAGTGAACAAAAGATTTTCCCAAGTAAAGCTGTTTCCATACATAGTCTAACTTACAGGCCACCTCACTCATTAAAAAAACATAAATAAAGCTTAAAATATACAGTATCATAGAAGTGGGTCTTTATTCTTGCCACAAATAATTTATTTTTTTTAATGTTAACAATGTATAAAAAAAGTAATGCCCTAACTAAACTACAATGCTGTTATCAGTCCATGTTGTCTCTGGATTGCTGTAGTAAATTATGTATCTCTTCAAAATACTGCTTCTTCCACCATTGTCTTGTACTATCTTCATTAGAGACAGGAACTCCTTTGCACTCTACCTGCAGTTCTGTTTCAGCAGCCATATCCTTGAAATTCAGGGCAACTGTTGCATAATGCTCTGAAGGAAGAAAAGGTGACATTTCAATAAAGTGTTTTTCAAAAGGTTAAATATGCAGCAGCTAACTTGGTATCTACTCTTGCTTGCGGGTGCGGCCCGTTTTCATGGATGTCAACTTCAAAGAACATCCTGCTATTATCCAAAATAGCTTCCAGTCAGCAATACCAGTAACAGTCACACTGTTTTTCTTCCTCCAGGCAAAGTGCAGCCTCTATTAGAGGCCCTCAGAAAGACTCACCATCAGGCCAGTTTCTACACCTCCACTTCAAGACAAGTCTTTGACCTGGGACCTGTACAAAGATAAGAAGATTCCTCCCATAACACATTCCTTTGCTTTATGGATAATTCACATTCCAACTACTGAATGCTAATTCTCCCCCAAGAGTAAGGAGAGGAGGATTATCTTAACATACAAGTAGATAGAGCAACACAAACAATCGAAGATTGCTTTTAGGCTGAATGTTTTTAAATAAACTTTTCATTAAACGTTTAGCTTGCTACATTCCACTGTTCTGTTATTTCCATGGAAAAAAAGGTTATGCTGATCAGTTATTGATAAGAAATACTGATCTTATTGCAGACCTTATAATGAGAGCAAGTAATGTTTTCACACCGGTACTGTATGGTAGCTTAATCCACCCAGACTGCAGGGAATAAGATACCAAGTCCAACCTCAGCAACTGTGTAAATGGCTTCCAGAAGTTTCAAGAAAAAAAGCTGAGCTCTGAACATCATTTTTTTCTTGAGTACCTCTTGTACCCAGCACTCAGCTGGGAGCAGTGACACATTTGTCTGGAATAGGAGTTTAAACTGCTTTACAGCTCCTCAATAAAAATGATGGTGCTCAAAGTTTTCTCTGCCAGTGAAGGTCATTAGTAATTGATGCCTGCTCTTTTGATGGGGAATCATAGAATTATTAAGGTTGGAGAAGGTCACTAAGATAATCTAGTCCCAATCACCAAAGAACATCACATAACAGCAGTCATTTTTGCTTTGTTGTAGAGGAATTGAATATGCATTAGAGAAGCACAAATGCCTGCTACTTTTAAGTCTGACACCAACACCCCATTTTTCAAGTGAAAAATAGAAGCTTTCTTACCAGTTCTGTGTATTCACCACTGATGCAACCATCAAACATTAGGAGTTTCCCTC